CACATGTGATCTTAATAAAGTGAATTATACTGTACAATATTAAATAAGAAAAAAAAATTAAAATCTTATTTACTATTTCATAACAAACACATTTGGGCTGTTATCAACCTCGTGCATAGTCTTTTGATATCATGGAGACCTGTATTTTTGGTAAACAATCACTCGAGTTTGTCAATGCCACCCTTTTGTGTCGAGCACCTCCTCTTTCAAAGTTACATAGTCGTATAGAATTGTCTCGTATATTTTGTCGATTTCAAGTTACAATTCTTTTCTTTTTGTTATAGGAGTATTTTCGCATATCGATTTGCATCTTCTTTTTCGATATTCACAAAATGTGTTTAGTCAAATTAATTATGATAGTGACGCACGGACAAGGGGGCATCATTTGCGGGAATTGCATGTGGTTGCTAACATGGTAGGCCCCTTGACCAAATCTTACCATAACATTTTTCAATTAGACAAACCTACTTTGCTTCTACCTAAAATATATTGCAATCAAATCCCTCATGATTTTTGCTAATTAGTAAGTCGTTTGATTATTAGAACTATGATTGTGACATTATACTTCCACGTATCCTTTTAATCAATGACTAATTTAATCATAATTAAATAAGTTATAAATTATATCTGCTTATTTTTTATGATATAGCGAGACAATTATCAATAAAATACAAACAATATAGTTCAAAAGATTACCATTATGAGTTGATACCAACGTGACCGACAAATTGTAATTTTTAAAATTGATGTATAAGCCTTGTATAAATTGTAGTGTCGATTTCTATCTAATTTGATATTTTAATATGGTTTAGTTTTTAATTTCCATTTCTATAAATTTGAATGTTTTATTCTATTTGATACTATAATAAATTTAACTTTAACATAAATGGTGACTTAAAATTTTTGTCACTTTTGATAAAAATGGATAATAGTGAACACAGTAAAAAACAAGCAATATATATATGTATATATGTGTGTGTATAACATATTTGACACGTCAATTTCAATATTTGATAAAACGAATTAGATAGTAATGAACAATATTAAGTCCCTATTTAGTTTAGCTAAAAAGTTATAAAAATATTAGTTAAAGTCAACACTTAATTTTACGAGCACGTTTTATGAGACCCACAATTTTTTAACACGTTTCATTTATTTTTATCAAAATCGACTAAAAATCTGATTTTTATTAAAACCAAACCTGGGCTAAATTTAAATTATAAGTTAAACTTTTATATTGTAACAATTTAATATTATGTACTTTTGACAACAATTACTTCTAGATGACCCTTTCCCCTATTCAATTTATCTAAGCTATAATAAGCCAAACGTGTTTGGTGCGTTATATATAATCGTTTTACTAAAGTCAAGATTTATGCATTTCAATAAACAAGTGTAAAAGCTCACCAAACAAGTGGACACATGGTATACATATATTGGCTCTAAAATCTTAGATGCTCTTCGTTTTGCACATTGGATTTACTAAAAATCAAATTTTTATTGAAACCGAACCTAGGCTAAATTTAAAATATAAGTTAAACTATTATTTATTGTAACAATTTAATACTATGTACTAATGACAACAATTACTTCTAGATGACCCTTTCCCCTATTCAATTTATCTAAGCTATAATAAGCCAAACATGTTTGGTGCGTTATATATAATCGTTTTACTAAAGTCAAGATTTATGCATTTCAATAAACAAGTCTAAAAGCTCACCAAACAAGTGGACACATGGTATACATATATTGGCTCTAAAATCTTAGATGCTCTTCGTTTTGCACATTGGATTTGTCCCCTCCAAGACATTCTACATTGACTTAAATGCAGTAACGTTTGACTAAAATAACTTATTTTTGTGTGAAATTTTATATAGTTGTAATAGAACATAGATCTCAAATAATTTAGTAATTTTTGCCCAAGAATTGTGTAAATTCAACATAAGTATTATGTAATACGTTGTCTCAATTTATAGTCAAGGGTTGATATCCACCTCCGAGTTTTTTTGAAAAGTTATGACGGCACAGTTTGAAGTTGAACTTGTTAAAGTCTTTATTTGAATTGTAATCCGACAAGTTTCTTGGATTCATTGTACGAGAAGACACAAGTCCATCCTATTCTAAAGTCATCCTCGAGATGAAGCCACCTCATATAAATTATTTCTTTGGCGCTTAAAGTATACTAACAACATGAAATTCAAATCAACCTCGAGATGTTTAACCTTAGCTTGTGAATCGAGTCTTAATGTACTTTAAGCTTCGTGTATTAAATCTTGAATGAACATATAGAAGATCCTTGGTACGTAATTCAACTAATTCAATATAAGAGTTAAGCTTAAGAAAATTTTATGCAATGTCAAAGTGAACTTAATATCTGTTTCATTACTCATTACATTACATGTAGATTCATTTTCATCTAAAATTTGATTTGTGAAAGCTCCGTAAATAAAGGAGTTTTTTCACCGACCTAACACTCGAGCCTATAGGCTACAAATTTCTTTACGACTTATCAAGTCTACTTTTATATCGACCCTTTAGAATGTTTAAGTAAGTTAAACCTTGACATTACTTAAGTTGGAAATCCAAAATTCTAACTCCATGTTGATTAAAAGTAAAAAGAGTACAAAAATTCCATATCATTGACAAATGCTGCCAATATTCTACATTAGCTGCATACCTACCCCGGCGTAATTTCAGGCGAATCAAGAAAAATATTATCACCTTGATTTTCACGTCCAATTCCATATTAAAATTAGCAGAAAAAAGGAAAACAGTTGAAAATTGCATGTGATTGTAGGGTCAATGTTAGATTATCAGTTGGTAGTTCAAGTTGGGACAAATGCATGTGCACATGCATATCTCTTTTCTTCATCTTTGTGCTATTTTTCGATTTCAGTTACTTGTGGCTCTCACCCCTGAATTCAGCTTTCTTGTCATTTTCTGCCATTATCCCACTACTTTTACCTCCATTTTTCTATATAAATAGTCACTCAATACTCCCATTTTTTGTACTCAACTCTCTCTCTCTCTCTCAACTACATTTTTTGTGTTTCAAGGATGGCTTTCCCTGCAGTTTCCATGGTTTCTCTTGTATTTTTCTTTTTCAACTTTTGCCTTCAAGGAGTGTTTGGTGATTACGGAGGATGGCAGAGTGCTCATGCTACCTTCTACGGCGGAGGCGATGCGTCCGGCACAATGGGTATGCTTGTTTGCATTTGTGCTCGATAATGCTTGGTACATTCTATTAGACATTATATATAGCCCCTTTTTTGATAAGATTAGGATTAGATTTTTAGTAAATTTTGATAAAAATTACGAAATGTGTGGTTGAAAAGTTGTGGGTCTCATAAAATATGTGATTTAAATTAATTCTTGACTTTGAATTCAATCAAAGTCTAAATTTTGAATTCCTATCATATAGGGGCATGATAGTAAAATTGACCACTTGTTCTATTCAATGCTATAGTAAATATGCACGGGTATGATTATTGACATTATTTAAGATTTAAGTTTCATCTTAAAAAATCAATATTGTTAATAAGAGTAGTCCAAACCTTATATGTTCGTTAGTATTTTTTTACTTAATCGAGTTATAGTAATATTTTCAATAAATTTAGAGTCGGGGCAAGTCTTCTTCTAATCATCACAGAATTATGCTAAAAAATGATGTGTATATACATACAGGTGGTGCTTGTGGGTATGGCAACTTGTACGGCCAAGGTTATGGTACAAACACTGCAGCACTAAGTACTGCTCTATTCAACAATGGGTTAACATGTGGTGCGTGCTACGAGCTAACTTGCAATAGTGACCCCAAATGGTGCCTCTCGGGGACCATAACAGTCACGGCAACAAATTTTTGCCCTCCTAACCCATCTCTGCCAAATGACAATGGTGGATGGTGCAATCCGCCCCGACAACACTTCGATTTGGCCCAGCCGGCTTTCTTGCAAATTGCACAATATCGTGCTGGAATTGTGCCGGTTTCCTTCCGAAGGTTAGAACTTTAAGCACTTACTTTTCGTATCCAACAAATTATGGTTATGAGGACATACTTGAAGAGATTATGATATTTTTACACTTTATTTTAAGACCTTACCATCCACTATTGCCTTGGTCAAGCTTTGAAGATTTCTTGCTGAAACATTTTTTGTTGGTGTTTATAGGGTTCCCTGTGTAAAGAAGGGGGGAATAAGGTTCACAATAAACGGTCACTCCTACTTCAACCTTGTGTTAATCACCAATGTTGGTGGTGCCGGTGATGTCCATTCGGTGTCGATTAAGGGTTCAAGAACAGGATGGCAACAAATGTCAAGAAACTGGGGCCAAAACTGGCAGAGCAATACCTATCTCAATGGTCAAAGTCTCTCTTTTCAAGTCACTGCCAGTGATGGAAGAACAATTACTAGTAACAATGTTGTCCCGGCTGGTTGGCAATTCGGACAAACATTCCAAGGAGGACAATTTTAGTTATAATATCAATTGGAAATTCTTAGAAATATTCTGAAAGGATTTTTAAGATTTAAGTTTGTTATTAGTTAAAAAGGGTGTGCAGGTATGAAAGAGGTTGTGGGAGCAATATGTCATGCTCCGGACGTTTTAAGTCCGTGACAAATGGCTCTAATGCTGTGGTGGCTGGATAGCACCCGCTTAAGCCTATTTATCATAGTTATCTTTGTTACTTTTTTTTTGGGGTTTTTCTTCTTAAATATATAATTCAAATGGTGGTTAAGATTAGATGAAGCCACCTAATTATCGTAAATAAGTTTGCAAGTAAAAACTTTATCCGGTACAAAAGTGGAGTTTGAGGCTATTTATGTTCGATGTATTCACGAATGTATTCTAATTTGAGATGTTAAATAAGTTGTATAGTACACATAGTGCTAGCAGTTTAAGCCGTCCAATGTGGTCCACCAATAGGTATGTCAACCGAATGCATCCAAACCTTGTTTTCCTACCGATTTATTCTTAATCACCTTAAATCATGTCGATCACAAGCTTGCTAACCTGAACCAAACTTGACTAGTCTATGTTCGTAGAAAACCCACAAGTGTATAGGATCATTGTACAAATAATAAGATTTGTGAGTTAAGAGAATCGTTCCCACGAAAAATAAGGTCTAATATCTAGTTTAGTAGCTTTCATTAAATTTGAGATAATATAAAATCAAAAGAGTTATTTTGTACGTATTCTATACTAATCCTAAACTAAGAAAGCAAATAAAATATTAATCTAATATATGAATGTTTGCATTGGAATCGTGAATCCCCCTATTGCCATTAAATTCGACTCTTAATCCATAATTTAGTAAATTCATGCATTCAAGACAATCGATAATCCACTTTTATTTAATATTCTTTCCAAGATATATTAAACCTATATTTAATACGATCTGATCCGATCCTATTCCTAGTCCGAATTCAAATAAAAAATATGCATTGAATCACATGATTTATCACACATGATTACATGTGTCATAGATATTATTCCTAATATCTATTGTTCATGTGATTTTACCGTGTTCTAGACTTATTATGAGTATTCCTACACTACAACAAGCAACCTACTATATATTTGGTTATTAAGCAATTAAATAGTTCAATGAAAATGCAAAACCAATCAAGAAAAATCGTGAAATACTAAATTAATTTTTCTTGAATTAAAATAAACAAACAATAGGGTTCATCATTCATCCAATAGAATGAAAAACTTAGCCAACCATCCTAATTATTAAATTATACAAGAAATAATGAAAAGACATCACCCGGATCAAAGAAATATGGAAGAATGTAGAAAAACCCACTTTCTTTAATGAAATCTTGATTTTGGATGGATAATCTTCAAAAATCTTGTACAATTCCTTTGATGTTGATGATCTAACCTCATTCTTCGCCCCCAAAATATGTATAATATGATGAAAAATTAGGTCAAGGGAAGTCTCCCTACGTTTTGGGCGTGTTTAAGTATATATAGGATGTCAAGATATTATTTCCATATAAAATTTCATCAGAATAAGGAAACTGGCCGCCACAGAATATTTGGCGCGTGCTCGTGCACCATATAGTTCATTGCGCGTGCATCGGTCAATAATTTTTCTCTCGGGTTGGCGAAAAAGAGGTGGTGCGCACGAGCCATTCTTGGCCCCCTCGCTCACTGTGTTACATGCGCGTCCTTGGACAGCTCTCGATAATTTGGTCATAATTTTCTCTTTCGAACTTCGATTGAAGTGATTCAAAATGAGTTGGAAAACTGACTCAAAGACCTACAATTCTTCCTAAAATACAAAATTTTCAATTCAAACGTTTTCCATCATAAAATGGGGTCTCAAATTGAGGCTAAAAATCCAGAGCACAATTTCTTCGGCTGGAAATTGATTTGTCCAAATGCTTCAACTCTATTTCCTTCATTTGACCTTCAATAGCATCCAATTGATGTCATATGATCTTCAGTCGTCATTTTATGGTCCGAATCAATTACTAAATGTTTACACTTTTGTCTCCAAACTTTGGAATTCCTTTGTTTACGCTATTTTCTTTTGTAATCTTGTTCCTTTATCTTCCAATTGTATCCAATTAAATCCTTGACACCCTCAATCTTTATTTTGTTGCCTTCTCGTCTATGGATTGTTTGTAATTAAGTTTCTGACTTTTGGATTTTGCCCTTTTTTCACTAATTTTGCATTCTTTTCTCCAATTCTTCATCAAACATCAAGTTTTACCTACAAAATGTAATATAACACAAGTTAAGTAGTATTTTATCCAATGAACAATAAAATATCATTTAGGACCTCGAATAAGTGTAGAAACTACCCTTATCATCCTATATAACCAAGTTCCACCGCACAACCGTGTAATTCCTAAACATGGCTGAATTGACTCGAACTTGGACGGCTCGACTATTCTATACATCCAATCTGAACCATGTCCATTCAAAATTGCCAACACCAATCTCTTGGGACCCAAACCAACATATTCATTGGTGGTCTAGATTATTTTTGAAAGAAACCCTTAATTCCATATCTAGAGTCCACATACAGAGCAAGCTTCCAAAAGTAAAAGTTTATCCATCTTGTCGTGATCTACACAATTAGACACTTCAAGCCCTTGAAAACACAGCTATCAATCAAGATTGCAAAAATAAAGCCGTGTCATTCTTGTCGTTCTCTACATAAGCTGACACCTCTAGCCCTTAAAGAGCATCAACAAATATGTAGTACGAAAAATGACATTAAGAATCTTCAAAATCAAAGACATCATAATTTTAAACATATCACGAAGGATGCTAAGGAGAGGGGTTATGATTTAGCAATAATAAATAATACTGTTAGATGAAATTTGTATTGATTTTTTATTTTTAATCTTGAGTGTACACTAGTCAATGTTATGAATCTTTAATCGTTTATTTACTCTAGATATGCTATGTGACATGTCTAGAAAGTGCTTTTTAATGTTTTTAAGACAATGTAGTAATAATTATATTATGACTAATTATCTGACTTTTAACGTCATAGATGCAATGCAATTTACGGTTTCTAAAATCGTTACACAAATATTTATCAAATGCAAGTTTGATTTTACCGCACTATCAATAATGGTTCTCAAATTTTATAGCTACTATCAAATTTTCCTAAATTTATAGGCAAGAACCTTAAATTAATTTCATTCCCTCACTAGAATGCTGAATAGAATTTATCTCTATATTTTAATCTCAATATCTCTATTTCGAGTTAAAAATCTATAAATTATCAGAACATGGTTCTTACATGGAATAAGCTTCAAAGATATCATATTTTCTCTCGGAACCTACAAAATTTAGACTATGTTATTATTAGATCACATCTAAATCTCCGTATCTAAATCTCACTATCTCCAGTACGCGATTTAAAGCATCAAATCATTTAATTATCGATCAAGTAATTGAAAGCAATGCGCGAGAATAAACACAAATAAACTCATGAAAAAATCGAAAGTAATAACTATATTAAAATCCAAACATGTCTCAAATTAGTTACATCAAGCCCTAATTGTTCTCTCTCTCTCTCTCTCTCTCCCTCCCCCCCCCCCCCCCCCCCCCCCCCACCCCGCCCCCCCCC